ATTTTTATTAAAAACACAGTCTCTTGCAGTAATAATTTTATTTTTTGATAGAATCCAAATTTTCTAAATATTTGAAGTAATATAGCTGATTAAATAGCTAATAAAAGCTCGAGGATTGAGTTTACTAAGCCGCAGTAGTTTAATAATTTAAATATAAGTTTTGCAACCATACCATTTTAGGTTAATAAAATTAGGTTTTTCAGATAAGAAATTGGGCGGATTTTCTAGTGAATTGAAAAGTTTTTTATGTGGTGTTTGCCAATTCAGTTATTTATTTAGTATTTTATTTAATAAATAAATTACTATTTCTATAGTAATAGGCTAATAAAATTAAGGAATTCCTGAATCAATCAGTAAAAGTTAAATTTTTCATGTAATTAAACTATTAGCCCTTTCTAAATAAGGGTTTTGTTCAGGTTGACTTTCTGGACTTTATATTGAAATTAAGCTGTTTTTAGAATAAAATATAAACCAGTTAAACAAATTAGGATCATTATCTGAATGAAATTGACGAGGTTGAATTTTGAATTATATTTAAATGAATTATATTATTTATTTAATTGAATTTGAAATTTCTGATTTTTAGGCAATTGCTGTAGCCAAATGGTATTTAGTGAATAGATAATAAATATGACTGATATATTCTTTCCATTTTAGGCCTAGTTCTATATGAATTAGGTCCCAATACAAACAATTAAATGGTGAATAACTAATAGTCATTAATCTGCGTGAAATTTGCCTGTTTATATTTAAAAATTAATATATTTCATAAAGATTGAATTTACTTGATTTAGGCTGTGAAACATCAATATTTTTAGCTAATTTTTTAAGATTTTTGATAATTTCTTCGTCTGGGTGGCCCAAGCGTTAGTGCCATAAAAATACTGATTCTTTTAATTTAATTAAATTTACGTTATTTATTGAAAAAGTGAATTAATTTTGATGAGTTTGCCATTTTATGAATGAAATACTGTTTTTTTTATAAATTTTATATAAAGGTCAATTATTTAGGGTTTCAAGTTGATTAACCCTAGAATTAATAAAAATATTGCTTTGTTTTGCTTTTAATACCAAAATAATATTTAAATGAAAGTTAGGAATAAAAGTGATATTTTTTAATTTAAAGTAAATATATTTATTTCTAATGCAAATAGTTAGATCAAGCTAAACTATGCCAAATCCTTTGATATCAGCATTAGTATTACCAATTATAACTTTTATTAAATAATTAATTAGTGAATAATCTATAAAATTATTGATATTATTGTAAATATATGTATCTGAAGCCGTATCAAAAGCCCATAAATTTTTTATATTAAATTTATTTGAAATATTTGATTTATTTATTGAAAAAGAGGTAGTAAAAGTAAATAAATCATCAAGATTTTATTAAATTAAATTATCATGATTTTTATCATGATTTTGATCAGTTTGATCTTTATTTAATGAATTTTAAAATTTCTCTTTTATTTTTTCATATGCAAATTTCAATTTCAGATTTTCAAGTACTTGATTAAATTTTTTTAATTTTTTTAGGTTTGGTTTCTAGCCATTTGGTCATTTTGCTAGATTTATATAAAAATATTTACTAAAATAGTAAATTAAACCACATGGACATTATGGTTTATTTAATTATTTAAATTAATTTAAATTAGATTAGTTTAAATTGAATTGATTAGATTCACCTTTCAATATTGCGTTTGTAATTTTTGCTTAATATTTTTACTTTATTTATTAGTTTTAATATATTCGATTAAATTCACAGTATCGGTGGGTTATTTCAAAGAAATCAAGTAATTCTTTATATTTTTTCTCCTTTTTGGTGATTTTTTCAAACCAAATCATTGAAAATGCTGGTAAAAGGATCGAAATTGATTCTAAAAAGTCATATTAAACATATATTTGTGATTGAACTTCACTAATTTACATTTATTTGTATTCGGAATAAATATTTTCCTATATTAAAATATGTATTTTAATATTTGAATTAGGTTAAGCCTTAATTTGATAATATTAGTGAATTAAATCACGTTTTCATGATTCATTTGTTAGAGTAAGTTTTTGTTTCAGAATTTGAAGAATTTCGTATACAGTATTTATATTTAAAGTAGATTAATAGTAAATTTATATAACTGAATTATTAATAATCAATAAAATTACTAACAAACCTATTAAAATTAATTGATATTCTTTAAATAAAATTTCATAATTGTGTATTGAATCTCTATAAATTTCACGTTTTTCAGAAGATAAATTAATTAGTGAATGATATTCTGTACTAAATTCACTAATTTGTAGTCAAATTAATTAAAAAGGAATGATTGGCTGTTATTTTAAATCAGGATTAATATATTTCTATACATTTTTTGATTAGATAATTAATTTAATGTTTTTAATCCACTGCGGCTAGTCACGCGATGAATAAAGAATAAAAGTATTTTTATCTGTTATTTTTAGTAATTCAATTGAATCAAATTGATTCATTTAATAAAGTAAATTTTTTTGAAATAAATGCCTTAAAAGTCAGGCATCAAACCTTGATTCCTTAATAATCAGGTAGGAATTTATTGCCTTAAGGATCAGGCAGAAGAATGGGTGCCTTAGAAATTTGGTAAAAATATGTCTTAAAAATTAGGCAGAAAAGATTTCCTAAAAAGGAAAAATATGATTGGATGAATCAGAAGGATGAGGATATCCAGACTCATAACTGTTAGAAAATCAGATGATACTAAATTTAAAAAGAAAATTCCTAATCGGGTCTAGTATCTTCTAAATACAATTAACTAAAGTAGTCAAAGGAAAGGATTCAAGATAAGTTTCCTAAATAGGAAATAAAGAAGTGATCAAACTTAATCAAAAAAATAATTCTAAAATAAATTACCTGAATTACTTGAATTAAAAATAAAATGAATGAGTAAGGATTAAGACTATATTTATATTCATTCATCTATTAGATTGAATAATCAAGAATTAGATCTAGATTAGGATACTTTAAAATTAAAATGGGATAGTACAACATTAAACCAGGGTTTAATAAGGTAATGTAGTGAATGTGATCATAAAATAACTTTATATAAGTAGGATAAAGCGGGGTAATAGCAGGGTAATCACTTGGTTAACTGGGAAACCAGCCTATAAAAGTCAAATTATTGGAGATTGCCAATTTCCGCGGAGATGGCTAGTTGACGATTTGATTGGCCAGTTGACATGCTGAATTTTGCCAGTTGATGAGTTAGGCATTCCAGCCGACACTAATTTTATAAATATAATTAAAGAATAAATTAAAAGATGTATTAAAAGTAATTTTATAATAATTAAAGATTATACAGAGTCCCGTGTATCCTGTTCTCCTACTACCACTTTAAGTACTATGAGTATTTTCTTAAAACTTTTGATTTAAGCTTTTAGTATGGAACTAAAAACTAAAAAAATACTAATAAGAAATAGAAAATATTTCTACTATAAGGAGCCCGGCTATAGGAATAAAGAATATCTTAAAAAAAAGATTATATAGATTAAAGCTCTGGAAGTCCCTATAAAAAAATCTAAATTAATAAAAGATAATATTTAGGAAAAGTCTCTATCCTGGACAAGCTAGAAATTTAAATAAATATAATAGATTTATAAAACTTACTAAAAAATAATAGTAATAGTTTTATAATTATTATTTTATTTTTTAAAGATAGTATTGTTATTCCTGCTTGTATATTTACTAATTTTAGAACTAATACTTACTTAGTAATAAATATTTAGTTTATTATTAAGTTAGTTTAATACTTTAAAATCCTAATATTGTTTTTAAAGAAGGTAACCCCTATCATAGATTTTAATAGAAAATAAATTACTAATTTAATATATATAATCTAATTAAATCTTATAGTTAACAGCTACTAATTCTTAAATACTCTTTTTTTTATATTAGACCTGGGAAGGTATAATACTATTCTTAAAAAAATATAGTTTATTAAATATAATGTTTTACTAGATTGCTAGAATTACTGACTAATTTAATTAAACTAATTAATATTAGAGAATAAAATAAAAGTTAGATTTCTTATAAATATTTTTTAAATTATTTTAAAGTAGTCCCCGGTGGATTACAAGTATTAATAAAATATAATCTAAAAGGACTATAAGATATAATTAGAAAATAAATAGTTAAAATTTTTATAACCACTATTAATTCTTTTCTATATTAATTAAAGTAGCCCGTGTGAGGCTTTAATAAAGATAAAATATAATTTAATTGGAGAGAGTTATTAATATTATCTTTTTTTTAAAATCCTGAAGCTTGAACCGAAGTTTATCTTAATTAGACTTTTCTATAGAAAAATAATTCTTATTAAAGTGGCCGGCTTCTAATGATATCTAAAGAATTTAGAGATAAAGATCTTTATTATCTTATTTAATATTATTAAAAAAATTCTTATAAAGAAACTAGAGGTTCCACGTACAAGTAAAAAAAATAAGATTAAAAAGATTTTTTTTAAGTAATATTATGATTTAATAGATATTTTTTTAAAGAAGGAATCTAATATGCTACTTCTATTCTGATATTATAACTATAAGATTTAATTAAAGGATGAGAATCCTCTGGGTACTACTTTTTTTATAAAATAATAGTAAAAAAATTATAAACCTCTTATAATTATATTATGGAGAATTTAAATAAAAAATTTATTATACTAAGCTTTATATTCTTTATATTCCTTATTTTAATAGCCTGAAAGTCTAGAAAAGACCTCTACTTTTATATAAACTATTAAAAACTAAATACTTTAATTAAAAAGAATCCATACCTTCTATTTTTTATTAATAAGATAATGGACCGCCTGTATAATGTAAAAATCTTTATAAAATTTAATATATATTAGAGTTTCTACTGGATTAGAATGGACCCTACTTTAAAAGATCTTATAATTTTTAAAATATAATATAGCTTATTCAAGTATTAAATCTTTTTATTTAAATTTATTAATGGACCTACTACCTTCTAATAACTTATTAATAAGATTTTAATAGAGTATTTAAATAAGTTTATAATAGCTTATATCGATAATATATTAATTTATAGCGATAATGTGGCTAAGTATGAGCTATATGTATATTTAGTACTTAAAAAGTTATAAATTATAGATTTATAGACTGTTATTTATAAGTATAAGTTCTATATTATAAAGATTAAGTTTTTAAAATTTATTATTGCTACTGATGGTATCCAGATAGATTTAATAAAGATTATTATTATTATTAAATGGATAATTCTGATAATTATATAGAGAATTTAATTATTTTTAAGCTTTTGTAACTTCTACTGAAGATTTATTAAAATTTATAATAGAATAATATAGTCTTTAATATAACTAATCTAAAAAGATATTATTTTTAACTGGAATTATACCTATATTGAAGTTTTTAAGATATTTAAGGAGGTATTAGTCTTAGTTTTTATTTTAGTTTATTATAATTCTATACTTCTTACTTATGTTGAGATGGACGCTGCTAATAGAGTTATTATAGAAATATTTTTATAACTAATAAATAAGGCTTAATATTTAATAATTTATTATTTTAAGATTATATTCTTTACAGAATATAATTATAATATTTATAATAAAAAGCTACTAATAATTATTTATATCTTAAAGGAATAGTGACTGGAGTTAAAAGAACTCTAATATATAAATTATTTTAATATTTTAATTAATTACTGAGTCTTAGAATATTTTATAACTATTAAAAGATTAAATATTTATTAGGTATAATAGGCTGAGTTTTTTTCTTAATACTATTTTTTAATCTAATTCCGTCTTGGGAAATATAATATCTTAATAAATGTACTAATCTATAAGAATAATAATAAGTAAATTTTAATATAATATTATAAGTAAATCTTATTATTTCTAAAATACTTGGAGAATAGAGTATATTTTTATTTATTAGTTCTTGAATTACTGATAGTCTTTATCCCTGTATAAAAATATCTATAGATTATAGATTGGCTTTTAATAATTAACTGGAATTATTCTTTTTTAAAGCCTTATTGGGAAAGAGCCTGTTGTAATAAAGAGGGATATATTCTAGAAAATAAATTTCTATTTTTTAATAATTTATTAGTAGTTCTAGATAATAAAGACTTACGTACTTAATTACTAGATAAAATTTACTATTAACTATTGTTTGCTTACTTAGGCTAAATAAAAATATTAGGTCTTATAAAATATTAATATTATTAGAATATCTAGAACTGAGACGTACGTTATTATTTAGATAACTATTTAATTTATAAATAGAAAAATATAAAATAAGATTTTTTTTTAGAATTTCTATAATCTTTACTAATCCCAGACCGCCTGGGATAGTATCTATTAATAAACTTTTAGATATTTTTAAAGAACTGTTATAGTTTTAATATTATATTTATTATAGTAGATTAGTTAAGTAAGTAAGTTATCTTAATACTATATATAAAGATTATATTTATATAAAATATAGTCTGGTTCTTTCTGGAGCGCGTATATCTTTAGTTAAAATTTTTAGATATGATTATATTAGATTAAAGAAAATAATTCGTATTAGAGTTCTAGAATAAGTTATATTATATATTATAAGTAAAGTTTAAACTTTTAATAGTATTCTATTCTTAAACTAATAGGTAGACTGAAATTATGAACTAGTATATAGTATAAAGATTTATTTCTTTTATAAATTATTATTAAAATAACTAGTCAGAATTTCTATTATTAATTAATTTTATTTTTATAGTTCTGTCCCAAGAGTCCACAGGTCTATTATTTTTTATAATTAAATAAGAATATAAGTTTTATATTTTCTTTGACTAGATATTTTTTTAGATTTGTATTATGGATATTATTAATTAATAGTAAATCTAAGTCTTAGCCCACTGTATAGAATAGATATGGAAGCTAGTAAAGAAAGATATATAAGTTATTTAATAAGTTTAGACCTGTATAACTAACTAATAGTATTAATTTATAAATTTTAATATTAATAATGAGATTTATATAGATATTAGAAACTAGTACTGGAAGTAACTGTCTTAGAAATTATTAGAAAGTTGGTATAGTCTGGTGATTATTACTAAGAAAATTAGTTATATATTTTAAGTTTAATTATCTAATAGTATAAAGGTTCATCTTGTTTTTTATCTTGATAAACTCTATTTTTATAGTATTTTAGAGCCGCTACTTGGATAGATCTTAGATTAGGCTTTCTTAATTAAGATTGATGATTATACCAAGTAGAAAATAGAATAAATCTTAAAGAACTGTCTATAAATAGGAATTCTGTAGTATTGTATTAAATAGATAGGTTCTAATAAAAATAATCACGAGTAATATCCTACTAGTAATTTTAAGAATATATTTTTTTATTTATATAACTTTTATACTTGTTATCTAGATTGTTCTAGACTATTTAAATAATTCTTTATTTAGATTATAACTATGGAGAATAATAAATTTATTATAAATTATAATAATAATAATATTCTTCTAACTGAGGATAGTTAGGTCTAAATAGAGAGATGATATAATAATAGCCTTATTTAAAACTTTATTTAAGATTATATAACTATATTTATTTTATTTACTTTACTATTATTTTCTTTAAGTGAGTATTTATAATATTTCTTATTTTCCTTTTTTCCCCCTTATGCTTAAAGTTTTAGAGTAGTTAGTACCAATACAACCTCATTTTGCTGTGTTGAACGGCCGTCTCACCTATACCCAATTAAAGAAGTTATTAACTCTTATATATACTATCTAAAACTTCTATTAAGCATGAAGATCTATCTAATATTTAACATGAACTTACTTATCTCTACTAATAATAACCTATTATTTAGATAATATTAGTCCCCTTCCCCTTATATTAAGATCAATGGACTTGAGGAGTAAAAAATTAAAGATATATTAAATTTCTTTTAGAATTACCAGAGATAAGACTACCTCTAACTAATATATTTTATTAAGTAGATAAAATATACTAATCCTATTATTAAATCTATAGAATACCTAAAGAATACCCGCTAAATTATTAAGAACTTCTATTATTACTATCTATATAAATCCTAACCTTCACCTTACAGGAGCTTAACTTAAAGAGAAAGAAAGTACTATCATGGTATAATCTTTTAAATTAAAAAAAAAGAAATATTATTAAAACTTACTACTCTAACACGTAATCCCAGACATAGTTAAAAATCACTTATCTTCTAAATCCCGTTTATAGCTTCAAGCTATATCTTGTCTATTATCTTGTATATAGCTTGACCAGTAACCAGCTCAGTATCTAGTTAGAATCCTAGTTATTATTATTACCCGAGTCCTGCCTGCCTGCCAGAACCTGCTATCCTACCACCCCTGCCTGCCCGCACCTTGACAGTTCAGTTATTTATTTAATGTTTTATTTAATAAATAAATTACCGTTTCCATGGTAACAGGCCAATAGAATTAAGGAATTCCTGAATCAATTAATAAAAGTTGAATTTTTTATGTAATTAGGCCACCAGCTCTCTCTGAATAAGGGTTTTATTTAGGTTAACTTTCTGGACTTTACATTGAAACTAAGCTATTTTTAGAATAGAATGCAAACCAGTCAAACAGATTAGGATCATTATCTAAATAAAATTAATAAAGTTAAATTTTAAATTGTGTTTGAATAAATTATATTATTTATTTAATTAAATTTAAAATTTCTGATTTTTGCACAATTGCTGTAGCCAAATAATATTTAATAAATAAACAGTAAATATGACTAATATATTCTTTCTATTTTAGGCCTAGTTCCATATGAATTAGGTCCCAATACAAACAATCAAATAATGAATAACTAGTAGTCATTAGTCTATATAAAATTTACCTATTTATATTTGAAAATTGACATGTTTTATAGAAGTCAAATTCACTTGATTTAGGCTGTGAAACATTAATATTTTTAGCTGATTTTTTAAAATTTTTAATAATTTCTTCATCTAGATGGCCTAAGCGTTGGTGCTATAAAAATACTAATCTTTTTAATTTGATTAAATTTACACTGTTTATTGAAAAAGTGAATTAATTTTAATAAGTTTGCTATTTTATAAATGAAATACTGTTTTCTTCATGAATTTTACATAAAGATCGATTTAGGGTTTCAATTTGATTAACCCTAGAATTGATGAAAATATTGCTTTATTTTACTTTTAAAGCTGAAATAATATTTAAATAAAAGTCAGGAATAAAAGCAATATTTTTTAATTTAAAGTAAATATATTTATTTTTAATATAAACAGTTAGATCAAGCTAAACTATACCGAATCCTTTAATATTAGCATTAGTATTGCCGATTATAACTTTTATTAAATAATTAACTAATAAATATTCTATAAAATTATTTATATTATTACAAATATGTATGTCTGAAGCTGTATTAAAAGCCCATGAATTTTTCATATTAAATTTACTTAAAATATTTAATTTGTTTGTTGAAACAGAGCTATAAAAATAAAATTAATTAGTAATAAAAATTCTAATTAATTATCTTAATAATAATTTATAAAAGAAATAAATTTTTATATTATATACTGGTGCACAATTTCAGTCTATCTATTAATTTAAGAATGATATACTATTAAAAACTTAAACTTTATTTATAATATATAATATAATTTATCTTAGAACTTTAATACAAATTATTCTTTTTAATCTAATATAATTATATTTAAGAGTTTTGACCAAGGGTACACGCACTCTAAGAAAAGCTAGGCTATATCTTGTATAAATATAATCTTTATATATAATATTAAGATAATTTACTTATTTAATTAGTTTACTATAATAAATATAGTATTAAAACCATGACGGTTCTTTAGAAATATTTAAAAATCTATTAATAAATATTATTCCAGATAGTCTGGGATTAATAAAGATTATAAAAGTTTTAAGAGAAGGTCCTGTCTTATATTCTGAGACAGCCGTTCAACGTAATAAAATGAGGTTGTATTGGTGCTAACTACTCTAGAACTTTAAATGTAAGGAAGGAAAAAGGAAAATAAAAAATATTATAAATACTCACTTAAAGAAAATAACAGTAAAATAAATAAAATAAATATAGTTATATAATCCTGAATAAGGTCTTGAATGAGACTACTATTATATTATTTTCCTATTTAAATCTGATTATTCTTAATTAGGGAAATATTGTCATTATTATAATCTATAATAAATTTATTATTTTTTATAGCTATAATTTATATGGAGAATTATTTAGATAATCC